TGCCGCTCCCTGCGCAGCCAATCTGGACCCATGTTGGGCTCCCATAAACTCTGTTTTTTCCATTCCCGTCCTGGCTCGGAGGCACTGTGTTTCCTGTGCTCATAGGAACAGTACTCTGGTCACAGGACCCAGCTGCTTACACATACCCCATATGCTTCCCCTGCTTCGCACACACGTAAGCGTGGCTCCCACATCCCAGCCCGGCGCATTGCGTGCGGGGCAGCTCATCCATCTGGGGGCAAGATCCCTTCGGTTATTTCTCAGGCTTCAACTCTGGCTGTCTGAGCCCCAGCCAGAAACGCCTCGGTGTCAGTGGCGACTCCAAAAAGCCTTGCAAAAAATAAGGGGTGGTTTTAGATCTTATAATGAGATCACCAGAATAATAGCACCAGCTTCCTGCTGGAGCCAGGGTTGCGGGCCGTCTTCCTGGCCTGGGTCAGGCAGAGAGACCTCCTCTTCCCTGCCTGCGGCACAGTGCACCACCCCATGCGGGCAGCGGGCAGTGGGCAGCGGGCAGCATGGGACCCCGGCGCTGCTCGCCGGCCTTCCCGGCCCTGGGGCGGTGGGCAGAGATCACAAATCATCCCCCCACCAGCGCAGGGAGGGGAAAAGGCGGCCTTCGAGACGAAACGTTGTCTCTGAGCCACGCCGGGAAGCCTTGGCAGGGAGCAGGGAGCTGGGAGCGCCGCCGGGGTGCCGCCATGCCCAGGGCGCGGCACCCGAGGAGGGTGGGGGGGCATGGCGTGGGGACAGCGCAGTGTGGGATGGACGCAAGGACTGGGACAGTGTGGGGAGGTCTGAGCTTCACGCCCCTCTCTCTCTCTCTCTCTCTCTCTCTCTCTCTCTCGTTGCAGACGATCCCATTCGTTTGCTCAGGGAAGTGGTTTTGCTGACGGACGACCGGAACCTGCGAGTCAAAGCATTGACCCGCAACGTGCCGGTGCGGGACATCCCCACCTTCCTCAAGTGGGCCCAGGAGGGCTGAGGGGTCCGAGCGGGGCTGACAGCCCCTGAGCGAGTCACGCAGCCTGTTACGGTGGGAGACCGGCTTCAGCGGCAGCCCTCACCACGCGCCGCCACCACCTTCCAGCCCACCACGAACAATAAACGCCACGTCTTCAACCCACCCCAGAATGGCCATGCTGCGAGGGGCCGACCCCCGAGGGCAGACCAACTGGGAAGGTCATTGCTGTGGATGGTTCACGTGGAGGCTGGGCCGTTAAGGGTCCCACCGGCCTTTGGGCAGTGCCAGAGAGGAGCTGGCGAGCCCTGCTGGCTAGGGAAGCTTTGGGTGAGCCCGTGCCGGATCACCAGCCTTTTGCTTGGTTTGCTTGGTTGCAGAGAGCTCGAGTCACGAGTCGGTGGCTCTTCGGGTTTGTAGGCTGCGTAGGGCAGAGACCGGGGACACACCAGCGCAGACTTTGGGATTGCTTAGTCTAGCTCGTGCCCCTCGGAGAGGCCGTGGACTTCAAGGGCAGGTTCCCTCCTGCCCCAGCCTGTTCGTCCTGCGTGGCCCAGGCAGCCCCAGGCCTCTGGGGCCTCTGGCCCCTTCCCCGCCCCACGCCCGCCCCGCACAGCGGGTGCTGCTTGCAGAGATGCTTGTCCTCTCCCTGGTGCAGGGTTTGCTTGTTGAGTTTCATTTCAGACTTCAGTATAGGTTAGTTTTCAGGTGTGTGCCCTGCCTGCTTTGCTGGGAGGAGGCTTTGAACACCCCCAGTCCCCCCAAAGCTGCTTTCTGTTCTGCTCTCCTGCCCACCCCACCACCTGCCCCTTCCCTCCTCCCCCAAACCCCTTAGTCCCACCCCACTGCCTTTAGACGCATTTTTTGACCTAAGACTCAGCATGAGGCTAATAAAATCCTCCAAGGACCCCAGGACCAGCTGTGTCCCACAGGTCCCGTGTGTCCTCACATCACCACGGGCTCCTCTTGCGTGTGGGATCTGGCTTCTGCCCGTGGCTGCAGGGCTGGAGAGAGCCGGGGCAGCGCCTGCCCCCCCCACCACCACCATTTGCCCAGCTGGGAGGGTCCCCTCTCAAGTTGCCCCTTCGCCGTGGAGGGAGCCGTGAAGGGACCCCGCTGCCTCGTCACTGGGTCATACCGCACTGGGAGCCAGTGCAGGGTTGGGGTGTTGCTGAGCCCCTCCCCACACCACGTTGTCCCATCACCAAGTGTCCCATCCCCGGCCCAGTTACACGCCAGATACAGAAGCTAAGAGGGAGCATTAACCCGTGAACCGGAGCCCCTGGAGCTCTGTCAAGTCCCAGTCCCATGAGCAGACGGTGGGAGTGACCCCAAGGCCATCCCCAGTCCCCGCTGGGGCACCGTGGCCGTGGGAGGGAAGCGTCAAAGGTGGCGGAGGAAGCAGTAGGATGGAGCCCAGCGTTTTCCTTTCCTGCGTGGGTGGCTCGGACCCGGTGTCTGCGTCAGGAAGCCCAGCGTTACCCCTGCACCGACCGCCCGGCCTCACAGCGAGGGCCAACGCCGGGGTCGGAGCCTCGGCAGCACCCGGCCGCGGTGGGGCTGCACGGCACAGCGACGAAGACGAGCAGGTTTGCGCTCGCTAACCTGTGCCATACAAATGCCCTAACCTCGGGGCACTGCGCAGGGCGGCTGCCGGCAAAGGAGGGTCTGTGCTGCGGGGCAAAGCCTGTTCGACAGAGACTTTGGGGTGCCCATGCCTGCTTGCAGGGCACACGGAGCCATCACTGCAGCTGAGCCCACCCGGGGCCGCGGCACACACAGCACCCATGCCCTGGTTCGGTGCCCACAGCGCGTGCAGCGCCGCACTGGCTGTAAGCAGCATGTAGACTTTGCCTTCTCCTCCACGCCGGGTGTGTTTAAACGTTTGTTTTCTAACAGAGCTGCCCCAGGGCTTCCTTCGCAAGGCCCTTCCCGGGGTACCACCAGCTCGGAGGGACCTGCGGCTCTGCCGGACACCGACCCCTCACGCTGTGCCACGGGCTCGGCCGTGGGACAGAGGTTCTTGCCACCACCAGACCAGCTGGCACGACGGCAAGCGCAGTGGGGGCTCGCTGGCTTGAGCGTCCCGTGCCTGGGGCCATCCGTGCCAGGCTGCTGCCCCGAGCCCCCGCAGGGAGCCCGTGTCTCGGGGAGGCGGCCGCATTCAGGCTATTTTGTTAAGATGGTTTTAATAATTTTTAGTATTAAACACTTGTCTGTGCAGCGTGTTGTTTCATTTGCCGTCGGCGGGTGAGTTGCTGTCGAGGTTAGGGCAGGCGCGGGGGGCACCGGGGAGGGACGGCAGCGGGACGCGTTTGTGCTCGCAAGGACAATGGCAGCTCTGTCCCACCTGCAGCTGCTGCTGCCCCCCCAACCGAGGGGGCTCCAGGCAAACCAGACGCACGGCAAAGCCCCTCGCCTCCCCTCCCTGCAGCTCTGCACCCACCGTCGCCCCCGGCGCAGCCTGTGTCCCCCGGGGTCACCTCCCAGCCCCACTCAGCACCAACCCCGCACCGGCCAGGCCCGCCCCCAGAGAAGGACGCGAGGCCACGCATGTTAATGTCACTTTATTGCTCATTCCGTTTCGACTATAGAAAAAAAAAAAAAAGGGGCGAGGGGCCGGGTAA